AGAGAAAGAGAAACATCAATGATGAGGATAGAAACATCAATGGCTGCCTCCTGCACGCCCCCTACTGGGGATCGAGCCTGTAACTCAGGCAATGTGCCCCTGACTGGAACTGAACCCAGGACCCTGCTCTATCCACTGAGCAAAACCGTCTAGGGCAGCAGTTCTCAACCCTTTGGGGGTCGAATGACCCTTTCACAGGGGTCACCTAAGACCATCGGAAAACACATATATAATTACATATTGTTTTTGTGATTAATCACTATGCTTTAATTATGTTCAATTTGTAACAATGAAAATACATCCTGCATATCAGATATTTACATGACGATTCATAACAGTAGCAAAATTACAGTTATGTAGTAGCAATGAAAATAATTTTATGGTTGGGGGTCACCACAACATGAAGAACTGTATTAAAGGGTCGCTGCATTAGGAAGGTTGAGAACCACTGGTCTAGGGCAAGCTTTTAAGCTTTTATTTCTTGACTGAATTCCAGCAACAGCCATTACCAGAATCACCACTCTAGAACTTTATTTTTTTTAATATATTTTATTTCAGAGAGGGAGGATAGAAACAGCAATGAGAGAACCATTGATTGGATGCCTTCCGCATGGCCCCCACTAAGGCTCGAGGCTACAACCCGGGCATAAGGCCCGACTGGGTTCATAGGTTGACGCTCAACCACTGAGCCACGCCTGCTGGGCATCTCTAGAACTTTATATGGTCCTTGCTGGTCCTGTCTTCCTTCCCAGTCTTGCCTGTCCACGGCTGTGGCGCTCTGTGCTAGACTATCACGTGCCTCTTTAGCTTCGGTTACAGACCTTGTTTCTCCCACCTGAAATGCCTTGTCCGCCCCTTTATCTCAGTAGGACACAGGCTGGACATGCCCAATGGTAGCTCTAACCATTTCCTCAATGCAGCCTTCCTCGATCCCTTGCCCAAACACTGTCTACTCCGATTTTCAGCCTTTTAAATGAACCTTGACGGGGTTCTGTCATTTCCCTTACCTAGAACTTTCCTTGCCTCTGTACTGCTAGCCCCTCCAGGGCAGGTCCTAGGTTTTATTCATCTTTGCATCCTTAGCACCTGTCACAGTGCCTGGACTATAGGAGGAACTCAGTGAATGGCTGATGGAATTAATGAAGATTTTTCTTTCCTATTCCCTTCTGCAACTGGCACAGCTTTTGTAATAAGAATGAAATCTGCCCTAACCAGTTTGGCTCAGTGGATAGAGCCTGAGGACTGAAGGGTCCCAGGTTCAATTCCAGTCAGGGGCATGTACCTTGGTTGCAGGCACATCCCCAGTGGGGAGTGTGCAGGAGGCAGCTGATCGATGTTTCTCTCTCATCGATGTTTCTAACTCTCTATCCCTCTCCCTTCCTCTCTGTAAAACATCAATAAAATATATTATTAAAAAAAAAAAGGCCCAGAAACTCTTGTTGGGCAGCTCCCTGCCCATCCAAGACTCCGGAGAATCCTTTCTTGGCCTCTCCAGAGCGCAGACCCTGAGAATGGACATAAGCTACTGAGAAGTGGCTGGACACGCCTAATTCTTATTTTGGAGGGCTCCAACCTCTGAGAACTTGATGAAAATCAGACCCTTTCCCCAGGAAAATGCACTCACACACACAATTTTCCACCTTAGTTCTGGACTCCAAATACCTACCAGTCTCTAGGCCTCCAAATCCACCCTCACTGCCAGCCTCCTCCCCAGTCCCAGCCCCAGAGGTAAAGAACTGCCTACCCCAGAGGCACTCAGGAGGTGATGGCCTGGTCTGGCGCTGTATCTTCATGGCTAGCCCCACTCACCTGTTCTAGAGTGCTGCTATTATAAACTCACGGCCTCTGCCTGGGACCTCCAGGAGGAGGGTAGATGCTGAGAAGAAATGGACATTTCACAAAAGCAGGGGGAGGCAAGCTGGGAACAGAAACCCCAGCCACTAAAAGGGGAACAAGCCTTATTACTCAGCTCTTCTTCTGGGTGGCTGTATCTCATTACCTAGTTAACTGCACCAAACACAGGGAAGACTAACAGCAGAAGCATTTATTACCAACACAAGCACTACACACACTGCCCCGCCCCGGCCCTGAGGATGACGCGAAGTCCTTGGGTGGCAGGAAGAATCGTTTGGAGGGAAGTGGCTCCTGGGACACAGCCTCGGCTGGGCGGGTGAAAGGAAGGGCCACGGCAGGGACTAGATCCAGGTCATCCTTGGGCCCGAGAAACCCTAAAGATGGGAGTGGGTGCCAGCTAGGGATTTTCACCACTGCTCCAGCATGTCTAGGGGTCATGGTTGAGCCTGATACTAGCTCCCTCTACGAGAAGACATACACAACCAGGCTATCCACCTCAGAGTCCCTGCTCCTCAGGGTCCCCACAAAAACATGGTGTGGCAGAAAAGGAAAGTCCTTAGTCTGCTGACTGATGCAAGCCAGATCCTGAGTGGACCACAATATTCCTAGCACCCTCCAAAAGGCACCCCCTGGCAAGGGCTGCCCCAAGGGGCACTGCCACCAGCCTGGCTCAAACCCAGCCTGGGCTAGGAATGTTGCTACTCGACCGCCTTCAGACCACCTGGACTTCTGGTTCCCAGCTACTCCCTGAAGCTTCTCCATGATGCCCCTGAGGGGGACTCAGGGGCCGGCGGGGGACTCTCCCGGGCCTTTGGACAGCACATAGTAGACAATCTCCTGGGCATTGGCCTGATTCACCACATGGATGACAGGACTGGAGGTGTCCTGAGAGGCTGAGAGGCTGTCCTCCCCGCCTCGGCCCTCCTCTTCCGCCTCGTGCTGGGGCCCTGACTCCCCGGGCACTGTTTCTAGAATGATGCTCTGCAGGCTGCTCTCGTTCAGGGCCGCTCCCAGGTCCGAGCCTTCCTGTGGTTGCCGCAGCAGTTGCTGTGTCAGTTCCACACTTTCATAGCGAACCAGCTGCAGCCGCATGTAGCCGTCCTCATGCTCCTTGTACCTGGGGAAGCAGGAGTGCACAGGGCAGCAAGCACGGGCGGGGCCATAGAAATGGTGGGCGTGGCAAGTAAGGAACAAACTCAAGGGGGTGAGGCAGCCCTGGGATTCTAAGGGATGGAGTTGAAGACAGAGAGATTTTTATCAGGATATAGAAGCAAGAGGGAAGAATCATTACTCAAAATGGAAACTTTTATGTAGAAACCCAGAGGGTGGGGGGGAGGTCAAGGAGCTATGGTTCTGGACCTTTAGGCTCTACTTCTATTTTGGCTGCAGGACTTTGAGCACCGTTTATTGGGTTTGTCACTGTCTTGAATTCAAAAGTCAGAAAAATAATCTTTGCCTCACTCACTGCTATTCTTGGGGTTCCTTGAGCCTAAATAGGAATGGAGGGCATCAGAGCACTATCAAATTAAAAATTTTAATTTGAATATGGGAAAAAACGTGCAAATCTATGGGAAGGTTGAGACATACCGAAAACGGGGGTGCCCTGAGGGCCACTTGAACTGGTGCTTCTTGCGAAGATGCACAGTGAGGTTGTTACCCCTGGTGAAGCATTTGTCACACACGTGGCATTTGTACCTTGGCTCTGAGTAACCCTGATGGGCGGGGAGAGGGAGGTCAGCTCTTCAGCCCGCCCCCTCCTGCCCCCACTCTGCTGACCCTTCCCACCCCAGCCCCACTCACTTCATGCACTTTCCGGTAATGGGACTTGACGGAGCAGAGGGCTCGGGCGCTGAAGTTGCAGTTCTCAAAATCACACCTGTAGGCTGGCTCCTTGCTATGGGTATCCAGGTGCTTCCGGAGGTCGATCAGATTCTTGCAGCTGCCAGGAGAGGTCAGGAGGGTGGGAGGGCGTGAGGATTCTAGAACACCAGGTCTGTGATTTCCGGCCCCTAGTTCCCCTTACCTGTAGTCACAACAGTCGCATTTAAAGGGCCGGTCCTCGCTGTGGCGAAAGCGCATGTGGTTGCGGAGGGAGGATGGCAGGGGACAGGTCATATCGCACAGAGGGCACTTGTAGTGGTTCACTGAGGAGCAGAGGAGGCTGTGATCTGAGGGCCCGGGGAACCTTGGGAGATGGGCAGGGAGGCTGGTGGTGCCCAATTACTCACCATGGTTACGCATGTGGTCCCGCAACAGCCTCTCAGTGGCAAACCTCTTGGAGCAGTGAGAGCACTGGAAGCGTTGCTCTGGGGCAGGGCAGGAAAAGAAAGGGTGGCTGCAGAAGATGGTGGAGGTAGAGGGGAGAACGAATCCCAGAGAGGGGAGCCTCCCAGGCAAAGGGGAACCACCCCGAGGAGACAAGGGGCGTTTAGGGAACTGGGACGGACAGTATCACGAAGGAGCGTGGGACTTGCATGGGGAACCTGAGTTAGAATCCCGGCTGGACACTTACTAGCTGTGTGGTCTCAAGTAAGTGATTTTAAGCTCTCTGAGCCTTAGCTTCCTCATCTGCAAAAAGGGGGATAAGAAGCCTACCTCATGGGGCTGCTGTGCAGATTCACTAAGGTGGCTGACAGGCACAGTCAGCCCGGAGTAACAATGTCTAATGACTCCGAGTCCGCAGAGACTGGGCAGGTGCCTGAGCCCTACAGGTAGATGCAGCCAAGTCGCATATACCCCTGGAAATATGCCCCCAACCCCACAGGCTAAACAGCCTGCACCCACGTCTTCCGACTGCTTACGATCCAGTGAGGTCTGGCGACGGATGTGGTCTAAGAACTTGGTGTTGTTGGCAAACATGCCCCCGCAGGTGGGGCAGGCCGCCACCTTCTCCTGGGTGTGGCTGCGGAGGTGCTCGCGAAGCTTACAGTGGTCCTTAAAGGTACAGGTACAGCCTGGGAAGGAAGGGCCAGTCATGCTCCAGCACAAACCCGCGGCGTAGGCTCTGGACCCCCAAGTCTCTCCAGAAGCAGCCAGCCGTGCCCTGCAGGACCATCCCAGCTGCTCTAGCCCTTCAGCAATCCCAGGGTTTCTTCAGAGGCCAGAAGCTAAGGAGTGACCCTACCTTTCCAGCCACACAGCACCACGTGGTTGTCCTTGCCAACAGCTTTGTATTCACAGCACAGGCTGTGCGCTTCCACGTGCCGGTAGAACCACTCAGGATTGTCGAAGGAGCTCTGTGCCAGGAGCAACTTGGGGTAAGAACTGAGGGTGGGTGGAGGGACTCTTACCCCCATGTCTCCGAAGGGGACCTCTTGGCTCCCTCCCAAATTAACTCTGTGAGGACAGGAATGTTTGAGCAAGGGAGCTACCCAGACATGAAGGAGATACTAGCAGGAGCCTCAGGAATATAAGGGTCCAAAGAAAGGATCAAGGAGTCTTGAGTTCAAACCTGCAACTTTCTCCCACCCCTATTTCTGGCAACTGCCTGCTGACCTCACAGTGCTCCCACAGACACAGGAAGTGGTCGGGGATGTCAGGGATGATGTTGCGGCTGTGGAAGTCCAGGATGCAAGGGCTGAGGTCGGCCTGGCTCTGCAGGGCCTGCAGCCCCCACTGCTTCAGCTTCGTGTGGTAGCAGTGGAAGTAGACGTGGCGGACAAGGTCAGCAGAACTGTCCAGAGAACAAAAGCCACACTCCTGCCATAAGCAGGAGAATTCTTCCTCTGCAGAAAGGGGTTTAGAGAGAACATGATGCTTTCTGACGCTCAGCTCTCCTTCCACCTGTGGCACGTAGCAGCAGGTGAGGAGGCTGCACCCTCACCGAACTGCCAGTTCATTCAGCAACATTGACCACCATTGTGTGCCAAGTGCTGGGAATGTCACAAGGAAAGAGTCCCAGCCTTACACAGCTTCCAGCCAGAGTGGAAAAGCATGAATCAAATAATCACATGTATAATTACAAACTGTGACCAATCGTAAGTTCTCTGCAGGTGGAGGCATGGCACTACAAAATAAACACAGGGAGACGGGTGTCTTGGAGTGCCCCTGTGCTAAGATCTGACGGGCGAGTGTCTATAAACGAGTGGAGAAGTGTGATCGAGGCAGAGGGACGGTGTGTGCAAGTCCCAGCGCCAGAAGCTCAGCGGCGGGGTGAGTGGCATGCAGTTCCCTGGCTGAGTGTCCACTGCTCCCTGTGGAAGATGCTGCTTCCCAACCGGGACACCCCTGCTCCTTGTGTCAAACTACAAACCCTTCTTCCTCCCATGTTCTGCTCAAGATCTGTCTTCTCCAGGAAGGCCCGTCAACCATTCAATCTAAGCACCATATTTTCAATGTTTATACGGGTTTACTTGTTTTGAAAAGTAGATACTTTTAAAAATATAATAATCCCCTAATTTCTCTTTTGTGTAAATATCATTTGGCTTTTGACACTGTTAGTTACATATTTCAGTCACAACTTCAAACAGAATTTGAAGGGAGCTATCTCTGTACTTTCTATATTTCAAACTCTGCTGTGACCTATTAGTGGGTGGCGAAATCAATTTAGGGGATTGCAAACCACATTTTTTTCTTTCTTTCTTGTAATCCTCACCCAAGGACACGCTTGGAGAGAGAGGAGGAAATGAGGGAGGGAAGGAAGAAGACACTGATGTGAGAGAGAAACACCAATCAGTTGCCTTCCGTCCAGGAATCGAACCCGCAACCACGTGTGTGACCTGACCAGAAATCGAACCGGCAACCTTTCGGAGTGAAGGACAATGCTCAACCAATCAAATCACACCAGCCAGGCCACATTTTTTTCTTTAAAAAAAAATAGAAGAAGAGAACACTTCAGAGAGCATTTAATAAAGTTAAACATTTTTCCAAATGTTTTTTAACTTTTTTTTTAAAGGGGAGAATGGCCCTAGCCAGTTTGGCTCAGTGGATAGAGCGTCGGCCTGCGGACTCAAGGGTCCCCGGTTCGATTCTGGTTAAGGGCATGTACCTTGGTTGTGGGCACATACCCAGTGGGGAGTGTGCAGAAGGCAGCTGATCGATGTTTCTCTCTCATCGATGTTTCTGACTCTCTATCCCTCTCCCTTCCTCTCTGTAAAAAATCAATAAAATATATATTTTAAAAAAAATAATAAAATAAAGGGGAGAATGATTTTTGAATGATGATTTTTATTTCTATTTTTTTAAAAAATCAAAATATATATTTTAAAAAAAATAATAAAATAAAGGGGAGAATGATTTTTGAATGATGATTTTTATTTCTATTTTTTTATCATTTTTTAAAAAATATATTTTTATTGATTTTTTACAGAGAGGAAGGGAGAGAGATAGAGAGTTAGAAACATCGATCAGCTGCCTCCTGCACACTCCCTACTGGGTATGTGCCCGCAATCAAGGTACATGCCCTTGACCGGAATCAAACCTGGGACCCTTGAGTCCGCAGGCTGACGCTCTATCCACTGAGCCAAACCAGTTAGGGCTGTTTTTTAACTTTTGTGTATAGGGTTGTGATGTAAAATGTATTCTTAATTGGTAGTCACATTAAAAAAAAGAGAGAGAAACACTTACTAGGGAGTGAATAAAGCAGGATGCCAACAGCTTGTACAATATAAAAGGAAAGTCAGCCCTGGCCGGTATGGCTCAGTGGATAGAGTGTCGGCCTGCAGACTGAAGGGTCCTGGGTTCAATTCTGGTCAAGGGCACATGCCTGGGTTGCGGGCTTAATCCCCAGTGTGGGGCATGCAGGGGGCAGCCAATCAATGATTCTCTCTCATCAATGATGTTTCTATCTC